ACGCTGCACAGCAAAGCTGATGCAGAGTAATCATTTTTCTTGGGTGAAGCGCATACGATGCGCTTAGAGGAGTTAGTCGTTGCGTAAGGTCTCTCTCACTAGCATGTACTCATTTCGTATAATACATTCCGATGTAGTTCAAAAACAGTCTTTTTCGTTTCCCCGAATTCCACAGCCTCAACAACAATCAAATTGCAATTTTTACACAATTTAGTCGATTTATGCCGATTTTAACAATCAATAAAATGAGCTCTAATGTGTCAGAAAGATAGGCAATACGCAATGCAAAATAGAAAATTGCAATTACTTATTTTAATTTTATTGCAATGTGTTTCAATAAATTGGGCCCCTTCAAATATGAGCTAGGCAACATACACAACTCTCAGTGGAATTGCAATAATTTTACTACCTATGTAATTCCCAAGTAAAAACGTTCCTTGGCTTTTGTCAAGGAAATGAGCTGATTTCCTTCACTTTTCCAAGCTCCTGGTCCATGGTGATACACAGAACCCTTTCTTTCTCATTATCTTATTTCCTCCGTAAAAGCTGCCAGTGGTCTAGTGCTGAAAAATAGTGATTTGATTTGTTTACAAATTGTTATCACGTCACGAGTTCTGATGGAAGATAGCAAGGCGGATAAAGAATGGTGGTCGCATTTCGTACCCTCTGGACGTCACACGATATCGGGTACATGGGCTGGCCGAGGCCGGGGGGGCCGACTCAACCTCGGATTGCACGGCAAAACCCGTACCCTCCTGACGTCACAACGCTTCAAGATGGCAGCCAAAATCGAAATGCGACCCATTCTTTATCCGCCATCTACCTTGAACTGAACCGCCTTGGGAAGATGATAGAGCCGTTACGACGTTAGCGGAGAAAGATTTGCGTGCCGATCATTCCAGTCTCTCTCTCTCATCATATGCAGTCTTAAAAATTAATGTAAGTACTTAAAGTTTGTTAGTATATCGTTCAGATAATGTAGATCAACAGACCTTTCCCAAAATTAATGATCTAAATGAACTGAGATTTTCCTCCCTCCAGCCTCACTCACTCTGTCACATTGTACCTAGTTTTACCTCATCATTATGAAAAGAGAAATTGTTCTGGAAAACATGGAGAGGGTAGGAACCATTAATGACTCACTGGAAACCATGAAATACTTTCGTCTCACAAGTTGTCAGTCCCCGTTCCTCTCATGAGACAACAGTGCCCAAGTTCAGACGTTCGTCCCGATCTGACCTATCTCCCACTCAGTCAGTTGGGCCGAGCTCATGCCACATCTCTAAATGTCGAGAATGACTTGATCTTCTCTGACCACCTGCCTTAGTGTGCAACTTAACTCAGCCACTGCTGTTGTGAAAAACACTCTGCCATTTTGGATGAACAAGAGCTACGATTCTCTGTTGCGGAGTGTAGCACCTATGAAAAAATTAGGTTACAGGCGATGCAAAAAATTAGTGGCCTTGAAACTCAGTGTTGAATTTGGATGTATTACTTGCTACTAAAACATATTATCGCTTATTCATTCTTTGGTTGCACCTCAATTTTCACATGAGCCCTATACGAGCCAAGTTATGTGGACATTATAGCTCATGCAGCTAGTACAATACTAAATTACGCCTATCTGTCATGGGAGTGATATTATGTCCCCTATTTCCATTATTTTTGTACCTAAACTGCCTTGATGTCTTCTCATAAGGTTACTCAAACACATGACCTCTTCCAATCCTCTCAGTGAACATGAAACGGTACCTCTTGAATCTTGAATATCTCACTCGTTTGACATAGCACTATAAGCGTATAGGACCTACAACTAAAATAATCTGTTCCGTGACATTAACAACTGACCCATTGTACTTTTCCTACAATTGTGGCTTTGCATGTTAGAATTTCCAGTGGAGATTTAATAGAAATGTTGTGCCTGTGAGCGGTGCTTCCGGCTCTTCGTTCCTTGATTATTTACGAGCACCTAGGCAATATAGATTGCTGTAGAACTTAAGCATGACCAAATTTCACCTTGGAGGAGCATTTTTTCATTGAACTGTTTGTAGGGACCAAGATATGAATGAATCCAAGCCTTCAGAGCGAATCAGTATATAGTCTCTCAGGTTCCATTCTTACTTACTCTATGCTGGGTCATTATTTCACAAACAAACTGGAGTGCAGAATAGTATACTTGTTTTTTTCAAAAGTGCAATAAATGAGAAAAATCACGTAACTTTGCACTAACCTACATTTTGGGAACTGAATGATTATCTTATTCAATCTTTGTGTTGGATCCGAGGGGAAAAAAGAAGATAATCCAAACCTGATTTCAGATGCCTACTTTTCCTCAGTTTAAAATTTGCTGAGAATATTTGAAAATAAATTGTTGGCAACTCGGTTTTGGTATGTGTTCCTCTGAACCTGTTTTTTACATTAGGCAGAGCAAAAAGTAAAATCCTCAGTTTCAAGAGAGTTCTTTTAAAATTTAATTTTAAGATTAAATCTCAGGTAGGTATCATAATAATTGAGAAGTTACACCGATTTATAGTTTTTGAGAAAATTGCAATTTTATGAACATTTTAAAATTTCATTCTAAATTGATCAGCCTAAGATCTAGGTCTTTTTTTTTTTCAATGGGTCAAATTTGCATATCAAGTATAAATAGAGTCGTATAGCTGAACGGTAACAACCTCATCCAACTAACACCAAATGACCATTCAAATGCCTTGTATAATGCTGTTTATTTGTTTGTTTTTCAGGGTTTTGAAGGGCTTTCTGCACTCCAGCTTGCGCCTTCTTTCTGGATATCTTGCATTCTGGATTAAGAAAGCGGCTACTGTTCTATGACATGGCTGTCAGTTTCTCATCTGAGCAGTCATCCAATAGGAAATTAGCAGCAACTAAAAATCATCTGGTTTTGAGAAATTCACCACGAATCGCCTCAAAACAACATCATCAAAAGAAGTTAATTGCAGTGTGTTCAGAGAAAATAAACGTAGTACCCATAGTTTTCCTAAAATTTTATGTGTGACCGAAAATTTCTTAAGAAATTTGAAGTGGTGTGAAGTTCGATTAGTTACCTTTAATATTCATTGCTCTAATCTAAAGGAGAAAATAAATGAAAGTGAAAGTGCTGTGTTCAAAGTATCATGAATAGCATCTTTGGTGTTTTTCTTCAGGTTTTATTTTTGATGAAGGATCAGTTGAATTTGGTGAGTCATGCCCATTATATTTTCCTTTTGCATGCAAATTCACAGAAGATCGTACTTTTTTAATAAATTTCATAAACATTTCAATAATTCCTTTCATTTTAAACTTATAAAAAAATTTGACGTATTTCTGCCAAAAGGAACTATGTGCATTAAGACATAAGCCCTGAGACTCATAAGACTTTATGCATAACAGAGCTCACGTCATAATGCACTTAGTTTTGTTCGGCAGAAGTACGTCCAAATGTCCACAGGGGCACATCGTAAATTGGCCTCAGTGGGAATCGCACCTCTCATGATTCCCCATCAGATTTGTTCTCTCTACGGGAAACCGTGGTTTTTCACAGGCCTGAATATCATGTGCCCCCATGGGACGTCATTCCCATGTGCTCCCATGGGGAGACCTCGTTCCCTTGGGCCCCCATGGGGAGGCCCCGTTCCCATGGGCCCCCATGGGGAGACCCCATTCCCATGGGCCCCCATGGGGAGACTCCATTCCCATGTGCACCCCGGAGTAATTCGCGTCCCAAAATACCATGTGCCCCCGTGAGAATTTTTCTGGATATTGCACATGGGACATTTTTAACAGGGTGGATACGGCGGAATGTACTTAGACATCATGTCGGATTCGAAAACATCCGGTAAGAAGTTGCCCTCTTCAACCGACACGTGGATGTTGCCAACCAACCTATGCTGCCATTCCCGCATCTATGGTTTGTATTTTAAGGGAGAATCAGGATCTGTGCAGGTAAATCCCTCACTATGTATAAACGGTCTCGAAATAATTGAACCTAATCGAATCACAGTAAACAGAGGGGAACGGCCGCCATTTTTAGGGATTATGAGAGAGTGGTTCATCTGAGTGAGCATAATCATTTTCTTTGACGGAAAAAAAGTGTTAGGTTTTGTTCCCTAAAACTAGATGAACATTTCTAATGAATTGTAGCAGTACTGCAACATTTTGGTTAGTAACCTAATTAATGGGGGAACTACCACCGTTTATTGGAAATGCCCATATCATCCAAAAAGAACTACCTCTTTTTCTTGGTTCGTGCAATGTATCAAAGACCCACTCTTTAAAAACGATATATTTAATCCAGGATTTTGAATTTATATTAGGGATGCTTAGCTTTGGGCGTTTGAATTTCTCAAAAAGTACCGAATGTCGCAAAAATTGCGCAGCTACACGAGAATTATTCAACTTCTGAGGGTAGAGTTAAGCGGTGGCATAGGTACTTATCAGTACACTAACACGAGTTTTAGTTTTTTCCTGTCGGACGCTAACATATCTAAATAATTGAAGTCACTGATAGGAACCACGACCCCACCTAAATGAAAATGGAGTGCACTGAAGGTGTCCAGTTCGTATTGGTTTCCTTCCGTAAATTCAGTTACAATGTTAAAAGAGGGCAAGAAAAAAATAGTCGTGAGTTTGTTTCCCTTTGTGAAATGATTCCGTTTGGTTCTTGAAAACATAGAAAGGAACAGGTCTAATGAAATACTTTGGGTTTCAAATATATTCAATCATTTCGGTCAGGTTCATAAGTGAGATTTCGAGTGTTTTAAGGGATTTGTAAACACGGGAGCGCTAGGTATACCTTTCGACTTGATTTTCTCAAAACGGCCAAACAGTGCGTTATGGCTCCCTCTTTCTATATGAGATCAAATTTCACCAAGGGAGCATACTCGCACAATTCGAAGACGGTGGAAAGGTGGTCGTAGGAATTTCAAGAGCGATTCGCGAGCTTCTGAGAAAGAACCAAGCGAGCTCATTCTGCTTGAAATTCAATGACAAATTACTGTAGATGAGTGAAGTATAGATATTATTATTTGTAACAAACAGACTCCGCCTAAGAGAAGTTTAAATCCTGGTGACTTATCTCATCGCACGGGACACCGTAAAAATCAAACCATAATACTCCTTACCTGTCATTACTAAGGTGTAGAGAGACGTATTGTCACATGACCAGTTTAAAATATATGGATACCAGTCTAGGTAATTGGGGTCTAAGACGTTTCAAAGCATCATTTTCCCGAAACAGGGCCTGCACGAATAAAATTTAGAATTATTCAATGCAAAATACACGATTAAATATATTATAAATTCCAAAGTATTCAACTACTAAGCTCTTTGCTACATACGTTCTTAGGCATAGAGTACTTAAAGTCGTAATGTAAATGGGAGAACAGGTGACATGTTCCGGTCGACGAGTGCCGAGCCTGGTGTGCGCTGAACTTCGGTCACTTTTTTTGATACAATTGTCTATCCAAACTGGCGATGCAGATTGTGAAATAATTCCTATCCTCTTCGTTTACATCGGATGACCGGGTCCTTGTGTTTCGAAAACAATCGATTATGTATCGAAAAAGTGACCCGGCGTCACACAGGATTCTTGGAATTCGGAACCTGGAAAATGCTCAAAAGTGGAGCCTGGAGCCAGCTCTCCCATTTCCATAACGACTCTATGTAATCTATGTTCTTATGAGACATAATAAATAGAATTTCGCCGTTTTATAAGGAAAAACATCACATGATACTTTGGAACGTTGTTAAGCTTTTTCCAAGAAAATAAAAAAAGGCATGGAAAACTCCAGAAGTTTTTCATTTGAAATACAAAGAGAATTCTTTTCGCAATTTCATTTAGTACTCCTGAATATTTCGGCTAAAAGGATTCAAAACTTTCATAAAAAATAATAATTTTATCCGATGAAATTTGGCAGTCTTTGACTGTTCATAAGACGTTGTTTTTTAGCATTTTTAGCATGGCATTATTCTTGTAATTTAATCCACTTTTAAACAATTTAATCATTCTCCAGTATTTTTCAAGTTGGCAGCAAATCAATACTTAAAGTCACGAAAGGAAAGGAATAATTATTAACAAAACAAATGCACATTTACTTTAAAATATCTCACTGGAGAAACTGAACGGAGAAAGAAAGTTATGATTGTGTATGTAATTTTTGAATAAAACTTATTATCAAGAAGTGTTTTGGAGCCTCATCTATTACATCAGGAATGATTTCATGTTTTAAAATGCTTTTTCTATTTCTTCGGCCGTTTTTGTGACCAATGGAGGAATCACTGTGTTCACCGTTGGGGTAGATCTGACTCGTTAAGCACTCGATGTACAAAGACAATACCAACAACTTTGCAATGGGAGCACCCAAGAAATATTAAACCCGAGCATCTTGTAGCAGTTAAAATACAGTTCCCCTTGTAAACTTCGGGATGTGTTTCAACCAATCACGGTGCTTTCAAGATGAAAACGAACTTGGCAAAATCACTGAACGGTAAATTAGAAATATGGTTATAATTATCCATAAAACTTACTTAAGGTTTAAAGGTTTTCCTTTTTTTTTTTTTTGATCACAAAATTACGTGGAAAATTTGAGACTTCTTGTTCACAGGATGTGCGGCAATGTCGTTTTGCAAGGGCCGCGTTACTGGTGTTAAGTTTCATTATGTGTGCAATAGATGAGATAAGATTACAAAGCCATTTCTCATTCCATGTTTGAAATAAAAGCAACTTTGGAAGCTTGTAATACGTGTTGTAACGCATGAAAATGAGTGTTAGGTGATGCCGCTATTTAAATCAATAGCACTTTTAATTAATTGCTCTAAAATAACCTGCTCAAAGCTGCGAGTCAATTAATTTTTTAATATACCTAAGTGCTTCTCATCTGATGTTTGCTGTGATTGTCAAAACATATTTTTATATTTTTCGAAAATAATGATTTGGTTGTTGAAAATTGTCTGATAAACATTGGTCGTGCATTACTTACAGTTAAACAAACAAACAAACAAACAAACAAACAATAAAGCTGAGAGTTAAACTTTATAAGTTTTTGGGAGTGCTGAATACAATACGTTGTTCAAGCGTTATGACTGATGAGGTTGAAGATATAGAGTTTACACCCGGTCCTACATATGCTACAGTGTCTGCCGCGTTAATAAAAGAGATAAAGAGACATTAACAGGAGCGCAGATTATTCCTGATGCGCTAGACAAAGCTCCCGGACATAATGCTAACGTGAGTATTGACGAATCACTGATCGACGAAAAGAGAGGTGATTGGCCCACCCTGATGAGTGATGATTCTTATGTCGCAAAAAAAAATGATTTTTTTTCTTATCTTCATTTAAGCTGAATGTTTCTAAGAACAATAAAAAGAATGCTCAGATTAAGCAACAAAGCACAGCTTAAATAAAGCAGCAACATTTTTCAGTCAAGAAAAATACTTTTTAGCGGCAAATTTAGGATCCTTGCTTTTCATGTGATTTTTTTAAGCCAGCGTTCATCCGTTATCCCTCGCACATTTCCATACAAAACCAAACGCGTGGTTTTGTTATGACACAATTCTCAACTCTAATTTTCCTAAGGACTCATTCGTCACGAGCACGCCCTCTGATTTCCGCTCATCTTTAGTAAAGGTCAATTTTAATCGTCTTTTAGATTCTCGCCTCATGTAGTTCACACTCTCTGCATCCTGCACCTCAACCGAGCGACAAATATAACTTTAATAATTAGTGAAGTTGTTGATGAAAGGACTCATTTAACATGAATATCTCACGACAGTCCATCCAGCCTGTGAGACGCAATGTAATCGGTCGGACAAGTCTTACTTCTGGAGGTTGATAGGCAGACAAAGCCATCTAATCAGAAAAACTTCGCTATCGCAATGAATATTCGTAGGCATGCTCTGGATATACCTGTTCTAATGAAGGTTGCTGAATCCAAAATGGCTCTACATTACCTTAATTTTATGCTCCAAATCGTTAAAATGTTGAGTTTTTCCTGGAACAGCCACATTTTTTTGGTAGAAATTTTGATTTTTTCGAGCTGATCAGGGCAAATGTAGGTCATTTTTGGGATGAGCCTTAAAAGTCTACCGGAAAAAGATACTTACCTTCATGTTTCATATCAACGCAAAGTTTTATTGTTGACCAGTGATATCTATAGAGATAAGGCGATTAATAATCATTCTTTCCAATTCGTCTTTTAGATCATGTGGTACGATTTGCCGATGGGATTTGGGAAGACTCTGGCCCCGTTGCATGTCAAGTATTTTCCAACGTGGTTTCAATGGCCTCATGATCCCAACAAATTATATACATTCGTAATGACGGGTAAACTTACAATTGAACAATTATTTACTTTTTCATGGTGGGTAAGATGCAGGCGGAATACAATACATTCCGATCAAAGAAAATTCACATCTCGACCGTACCTCGTAGGCATATTATAGTGCACGGGATGAGGCTGAGATTCAAATGTTCGTAAAATATTACACGGTACAAACATTAGACATTCTTGTATTTTATGCAAGCGAATACAAAGATTCTAGCTAAAGTAAATTTTCATTTTATTTTTATTATCATTTCGTACAAAGATGTTGAAAAACTTGTTTAGCAAATATAGTTCCTTCATTGAGAGAATGTTCAATTCCGTATAATACTGTGCAACACCTCTGTTGTGAAATAGTTGCTTCAGGTGCCGCCGCACGGCGGGCGGGCGGCCAGCGTAAAACGCGCATAGGCGCCTACAAACCTAAGTGGATACTTCAAGCATTGTGCAATGCGTGAAGTATCCACTTAGATTTGTAGGCGCCAGTGAGCCTCTTGCGCTGGCAGCACGCCGCTCCGCTCTGTTAGGCTTTAATATTTATACTCGCATAGTCAGCGTTTTTTAACTCATGATTTGGAAATGTTTGCACACTCTGCATTGATTATTCTCATTTAAATTGATGGGAAAAAATATGTATCAATTTATCAAAGGAGAATAATAATATAAAGTGTGTTTTCAAATATTGGTGGTTCCGTGTCAAATTTATTGATTTCCAAAGCACTTTAATTTTTTCTTTTATATTTTGTGCTTTTATTGTGCTGCAGCGAGGTGAACGCGCAACCAAACGCTCAAAATTTGACGTATTTGACTCTAAAAGATCGATGTACACACTGAAAAAAATAATCGGTGGGATTTACCAGAGTTTGGGTGTTATTTACCATACTGTCTACTTGATTTTTTACACAGTGAAGCTGCAGCATACTTACCAATATACCGGTATGGTACATAACACGATACGGCTGACACTATGCGACACAGTGCCAGTGTGGCGTTCCCGACTGACTAGTATGGTAATTTCAAGCATCCAGATGCTGCGACAAACCTTGTAGATTCTAAAATCCACTCATCTTATATTATTAAATGCTTTTGATGAAAGTCGTGGATATTTTACTTACATCTTACTTTTAGAAATTCCGTTACATACACAATCAATGGCAGTTAAAGACAGTTTCAACGAGAAATAGCAGATAATTGCTTCACTGATTTCAAGTAAATGATACCAAAACCATACTTGTTATTCGCGTTAAGGTATCATTTACAGACTAAATCAGATCCACGGAAAATTTAATTGCATATAATAAATAGATAGTTCAAAATATACCCACAAAGAGACACTACATGATAATCCAATCGCACGGTTCACGGTGGGGCAGAAGCTGCCAAATTTTGCTTAAAGTTACAGTTAAACATCAATCCCACGCACATTTGTCTCTTCATCTGAGTATGTTGAGCTTCGAAAATTTTAACAAGAATATAGATATACCTACGAACGAAGTATTCAAAAATCACTTCTAGTCGATTATTTTCAAATTACTTCCGCACTTTTATGTTTTCGAAATGACTTTACACAGAACCGATATTCACTGGATTGCAGAACAACTTTGCGAAGGTTTTCAAATTTTCAGGATTCCTTCACTTTGCAAGCCAGATTCATTGTAGCAACTCCTAACCTCCAGAAATTGGTCGATACGAATAACGAAAAAATCTCAGAAAATGTATGTGGCAGATCAATATAGATAGATTCGAAGAGAAGACGGTAGCTTTAGGGACAATTCGAACACAAATTTGGGCAAATTACGCGTGGATTCACATGGATTAATATGGATCAATAAAACACAGCCACGGACTCCGACCCTCAACGTGATAAATTTATAACTGACAAACAGACAAACGAAAAATGGCGGACCACAGACCGCAGCGCAGTCAAGCGGGAGCTCTCACCACGCTGACTATACCAGTATGGTAAATTTAACCTACCAACACCATGACCAGTCGCATACAGATGCCTACAGATATTAAACGCAAGTGTTACCATGTTATTCCATACTTTTAACTCATCGTATGGTAAAAAATACCCAGCTGATGGTGAGAAATACCTAAACGATGGACAGACACACCTAACTGATATTTACAATCCGGGTATGGTAATTTTTATATCGAGTATGATTCTCACTTTCATCTAGATGCTTAAATCGACCATTATTTGGCTTTTTATCACCATATTTTTTTTTACTATACCATTATGGTCAATCCCACTTCCACTTTTTTTTCAGTGCAAATGAGTTAAAACTATAGATTGCGTGCTTCTTGGTTGTTTCCCTCTTGTATTCATTTTTGCAGTTTCTATCGGCACAACTGCGGCTCATCTTACTCTATAGTATAAAATCATAAGGGTGCCGTGTCACGCTGAGGGTGTCACGCTGAGGTTGTAACGCTAATCATGTCACAAACCGGTTTCTCCTCCACTCCCCGCTCCCCTCCCGCCACGCACGCTCACATGCCTCCCGCCGTCTCGAAACCGGGGTTTCCCTAACTCTTAATGATATTTTAACGATCTCACGATATCTGCTTATTAGAGGCGCGAAGCGCGTCTGAGGGGTTGGACCGCGGAACGGTCAAGGGGCGCAGCCCCCTAGTTGAGATTAATGTCGCTTGGAAAATATTTTACAAATATTTGTAACGTTTTAAAAAAAATGTTTTCAAAATGAAGTAATAATTTCGTATAGAAAAAATAAAAAAAATAAAAAAAAGTACATATACATATATATGGTATATTGTACATCGAATATATGAAGGATAGAAATAAAACCATATATTCACCAATGACAATTTAAAAAATGATTCAAAAGGAGAAAGTAATAACATTTCATTTAGAAAATGAGCAACCATAACAACACCTCCTTCTCTCTCAATTTCTCATTTCCATATTGTCGATATAATTTTACATACCGACTAAAATATAACGCTTGGACCAAGTCACTGTTGCTTATTTTGCGTGGGCGTAAACTACTGGACAAAAAAGGTGCGTGGAAAAAAAATCGTTGACAAAATGTTCTGAAACCTCTTGTTGATTTTCCGACGGTTAGTTTGATATTTTAAAGATGAAATTTGGAGTGACTATAAATTCAACAAGATCGACAAGATTGTGTGTGGTCACATCACGAACTACGTATAAAGACCAGCCAAGAGACGTCCACTCTCTCTGTTTTAATTTTTCACTGTAGTCTCTATTAATTCTTGAAAATAGAACTTTTTTGACTTTTGAAATTGTTTTGTTTAATCTAATGTCTTATGTCCAGATTAATAAAGAAAGCTTACATTTATTCCGTTAGAGAAGCTAGGAATTTTTCCTGCCCTAGATTTAGCAGGTTCTAAATGCGTGTAATTCAATGTCATTAGATCAAATAGGCAAAAATAGATTTTATATTTTAGGACAGTCGCAACTTCAGAAATTTAGTTGCGAGCTGCCTTTCTCTTGTTAGCACTTAATATTACATTTCACCGATGCACAATCGCTTAAGCTATTCAATGGAGAGAGGGTCTTGTTTTGCTTTGATTTATTGGTAACGTTTTCCATTTTTTGGGGGAACTTAAGATAATAAGTTTTTACCGCAGTTGAATGTACTGCGCACAGTCTGCTTACTAAAACTAATCTCATTCAGACGTGCTGCCGTGCTATGCTAAGGAAGAACGCCGCATGAACATTCGAAAGTTGCCAAAAATGTTGAGGAAAATTATCAATAGTTTTCCTTGAAATTTCCAGACTTCTTAGATTAAATTACAAACAAAATTACCTGAGAAATTGGAAGAAAAATATTCACAAAGTTTCTTGAAAATTAGTGATTTGTCAAAGGAAATTTGGCAACGCCTAAAGGCTCATACGGCGTTTTTTTTAGCATGACAGAATAATAATCAATACATCGGGCATTCAGATTCCCATAGGTTTTGGGAACACTTTAATACATTTATCGAGAATGTAAACTAAGCTATTAGACAGTACCAATTTCAGATCCGGATTTGTGTCAGCGAGAAAAAAAAGAAAGAAAAAAACGCATGAGAAGAAAGCAATTCTTAGTGAGGTAGTTTGAAGGGTTTTGTGTGTAATGTGCATTTGGATGTAGAATTTGAAAGTTATTGCTCCCGACGTAGCTGTTTTCTCGACGACACAATGGGCCTGTTGCATGCAAGAGATACAGCCGCGCGAATGGACTTCATAGTGGTTAAATGACACGAAAATTACGATGGTCACATTGAAAAAGTCTGAAATACACTCCTTACTGAGCAATTTGCGTTGTTAGGAACGCGCTACATTTCATTTCACGATATCACGAGCTCCGATTTTTAGGTTGTGTTGTCAGTTTTAGTTGACCGGAAATAGCTGCGAGTTGCCGTTAATTGTTTCCGTAAGAAAACTGCCCCCCGACGCGGGAAATTTGAAAAAGCGCGCTCCTAACAACGCAAATTGCGCAGTAAGGAGTGTATTGAGCGCGCTATGCTATAGCGGGCTCATTGGATTTTAAGTCCCTCTTTTAAGTCTATATAATTGTTTTCTCGACGACGCAATTCTCAAATATGATTCTTGGGTGTAAAATTACACTTGCAATCAGGAGANCGGCCGGTGAATCTAGATGCTAGTCCCATTGCATCCTGGGTTATTTTAAAGCCTCCTCGTGGCGGGAGCGTAGTTGAATTTTCGCATCGTTATAATTAAATGTGGAGACCGTATAGGGTACTGGTAACTGTTGTTCAATCAATCCCAAGAATAAAGGAACCTATGATGACATTTCGTGTCCTGCTAAAGCTCTGTAATATTTAAGTAGATAGGTACTGGTTTATTTTGAGGAAATGGGTGTTTGAAAAAGTAACTTTTGGTTACACGTGCAAGCCCGAGGCCGTGTACGTTTTATAAGCGTGTTTCTGATTGGTCGTTAATTTGGTATATTGTGCGCAGTGAGCGACTGCGCACCTATTCAGTGCTGTGCGTTTTTGTGTGTAAGTGAACCTTGTCAGTCATCAACGTCATCAACTCACGAGCGGAACAACAAAACAAAACAAATCACGAATGTTAGGTTAGTTCCTATTTCATGGACATCAAGAACGATCGAGACAATATGAAATCATTTGGTTTCAATGATTTCAATCCATTTACGACTTCAACGATGTTTGTGACAATCATTATCATCGTGTTTTACAACCTGGAGCAGAAGTCTATCGCCTCATTGTGAAGTGAATTCTGAATATCCAATCTTAGAACTCAAAACCTCACCATGCTATTCTCTCATTTTTCTCTCTTCATTTTTGGTTCAAATCAAGCGATTTAAAGTCGCTTCACTAAAATTATGTGATCTTGAATCCATTCAAGAATGCGAAGCTCACATTTTTCTGGCATTACAGCCTTTTTACTCCTCAAATTCTACGGATATGAGTCCATTTCGCTCAAGGTTTTTCTGAGCGATACCAAGTGTTTATACATTTAAGATAAGTGAGGTTTGTCTTTTGGTTCTTCTTTCAGCAGTTTTAAAGTAAATTAGGTATTACAGTACCTTCGTCCAGTTTTGTTTCCTTGTTTAATGTTTATTAAGAGTCTTTCTACGTGAACACTCAAGGACATACATACTTACGCTCAGGTACCAATACCATTGTTTTTCTCTCACGTCAGGATGTACCTTTAAGCATGCTAATTTACTAAAGAAACTCCTCCAGTGATAAATAATTTTAAGCTTTATTACGAAGTGAAAACCTCTGTGTGGTGTCGCTAAATTTCTCAGATAAGTCTCAGTTTAGACACGTAGAGCAGACGTTCACTTTTGTCCGTTACGATCCCTGCTCTTATAGCTTCACATCTTACTTTGATCTCTGATTCATCGATTAATGGCACTTTTAGTTCCACTCATCATCAATCAGTTCAAAGCTATCTCAACGATGAATCATCAAACGTTATATCAAGGAAGAAATTTTCTGCTGAAAGCTACGACGGAATTGACATTGCAACTCAACTTACGAAAGCATGAACCAGCCCATGTAGCAAAATTTGAAAGATGATTGCCAATATATTGATCATTTATTTCCAATTTTATTCCAATTTGATTTCCATCGATTGGTCATTTATTGGTCATTTATTGCCAATAATCGACCAATCCGGGAATCATCGGTCGACCAATTATTTGTCCATTTTATTGCCAATCGAATTGCAATGAAATTGGAATATTTTGGTGATAAAACAGCAATAAACCAAAATTTGAAAGATGATTGCCAATATATTGATCATTTATTTCCAATTTTATTCCAATTTGATTTCCATCGATTGGTCATTTATTGGTCATTTATTGCCAATAATCGACCAATCCGGGAATCATCGGTCGACCAATTATTTGTCCATTTTATTGCCAATCGAATTGCAATGAAATTGGAATATTTTGGTGATAAAACAGCAATAAACCATCAACATCTCAACTTTTTTTTTTTGACCTCAGGATCAGGTTGAAAACAATTTTTCCCTGAAAAACCTGCACAGAATACTGAGAATTGAGGTTTATTACTTAGAGTTGAAAAATGGAAGTAAAATAACTCTCTGAAAAGATAATGTCATGCAGTTACATAATAGCACAAATGTTTAAAATAATCGTTTTCCCTGATCCTTTCTACTCTCCCCTAAGAAGTAGTATTTAAAGATTTTGATTAGCGTATTTTTATTTTTAAACATTTCATTTCAGTAGCTTATCTTGAGGTTATTTCTGCGCCCCATTAAGGGGAGAGGATACCTTCCGCACAGGAAATTTGACAGAGAAAACGCATTCTTTGTTCGCTGTTCAAAAATAGAAATGAAAATTGAAAATTGGATGCTGCTTGTCCTTTGTCAATGTAATGATGGACACTTCAGTTTTTACAGATAGAAATAGGTTATAGAAAAAATAATTAAAGGTGCCACCATACACTTAGATGAATTTTTCAATGGTTCTCACAATTTTTAAAGTTACAATTTTGCCATTAGACAAGAGCTCCATTACAGCACTCCATTAAGATAGACATAAACCTGACAAATTTACACAAATAATTACAACAAAAATTCACATGGATCTTAAGTCTGAATGAGTTTGATTCAAACGCTGCCAACATTAGGTAAAATAACATTTAAGATTTCACACCAATTTAAAATAATTCTAATTAGTGTTCAGTTGAAACTTGCTGAAATAGATATGATAGTGGATATACTCACTGCTAACTTCCAGTGTTTTCTTCATAATTTGGTGTACTGTTCAACTGCGAATAAGATTAACAACATTTGATTGCTTGGCAATTTTATCATCAATCAAAAGTCGTTAAAATTCTTATACGAACAGCTGTCTGACCTGTAGAACTTTTGTATACTCACTCCCTGCATCCTCATAATATTTTCACGCTAAGTGGTAAATACGAAAGTGCTTACACATCTCATTTCAATGTGGTTGAGTTGTGTAGCTTCAGGATGGATTTTAACAGTGTGCAAAATGATATGTTTCTGGAATCTCTGTGCTTTTCCCAATATACACTTACAGACACATTAGACTATTGCGTTATGACTCTTTTCATTTTGCTTTTTGTCAGCGGGTCAGTCAGCGGCAATGGATGTTTGATTAAGCTTGGTCTTATCAATTCGACAACCACACGAGCGGAGCCAACAAAGAAGGCTTTGTTGATTCTTCAACTCACAGTTTTTTTAGTTTACGCGGTGAATTCAACATGAATTGTGAACGATAAAAAACAATCAATCGCCAAGTTTTCATGCTGATTTCACAGTACGACAAAAATCACACGACTTTAAAACTACGGATTGGTTATTTTTTCTATTCATTCAGTGAGTAAGAAGTTGATTGATAAGTTAACCATTATGTGAACTTCAGTTAGTGAGCGCCGTCGAAGAATTTACGCCTCTGCGCAAAGCGGTGTTCGCTACTATCCACCTTAAAAATATCAGGCTCATGATTGTATCGTAAAAAAACTACGTATCAGTTATGATCCGCAACATTTATGTGGTTGTGATTTATGTGCGGCTAAAAATTTAATTTTTACAAGGCTTGGAAGTATTAAAATACCTAT